CCTGACTGCGTCGCGAACCAAGCTGTACATAAGTCATTTATAACATATAGAGGAAATTGTACTGACATCACCAAAATTTATAATTAAAGCTTAAAATGAAATAAAGTGCCAGGCTTGCCCTAAGCGTTTGAGAAGCGTTTTATGCTATTTTTATACCCCTTGATAAGCCTGGGTTACCTGTGGTTTCCAGGTAGAGGCCATGCTCATCTACATGACTGTACATAGTTTTTGAGCCAGATTGAAGTCATGGAAGACATAGACGAAGTAGGTGGCATTTTAGGTTAAAATAGTGGATATGTTGTAGTTCAGGTTCAATATATTTTTGAACCAGTTTAATCTAATTTGTTCCAGTACAAGACTTCTTGTAATGGTCTTTTTTTTGTCTTTTTTTTTTGCTTTGGCATTCTTAAAAGAACTAAAAGAACTATATCCCATCTCATTCTCTCCCATTTTCTACCTATCATCTTATTTTCTACCTTCTACTATTTTCTACTTTATCCTACCCTATACCCCACAGAAATATTGATATTTTCTATATTTTTAATTTATGAATAACACTAAATATACCTTCATCGATCAGGGTTTGAACCACTGAACTCTTGCTTCATAGTCCACAGTACTACCAATTATACCATCAAGGATTTTGTTGGTAGTAATGTTTGCAAATTGTTTTTATCTTAATTGTTATTTTGTTAATGAAGAAAATTTTTATATGCTGGCTCAACCCTATTCCCTGACCCTAAACCTAACCCTAAACCTAACCCTAAACCTAACCCTAAACCTAACCCTAAAATGATTTGTACTGGATTGAGTTATATTGGACTGGCTCAAAATAGAAGAAATTGAATTGGTTCAAAATCATATTGAACCTGAACTACAACAGATATATCACTTCCAAATTCAAAGGTGCCATACCCCCTTTCCCGCGCAAACCAGCCTTTGACTTTTTGAAAACAAAATGGTAAAATTCCCCATCATTTAGCAAACTAGATGGTAAAATTTTCAGCAATTTCATATTCAATAATGATTTCTTAAGTATTACAAGGGGATATAGCAGGTGGGCTATATGTAATATATAAAATATGAGCGGGAGACCTTTATGGGGATTTGAAACTGCRAGCTGCAAGCGACATTTTATATTGCTTATCAAATTCCAACATAAGATAAAGCATTTTCAAAAAAATYTTCAGGATAAAATATCATTTGTAAGAGAAAATTGAAGTTAAAGTTGTATGCAAATCAGGACAAATCTCTTGCTCATGTAAAGATGCAGTCACGGCAATGATTTTCCATTGTGTTTACCTTATGAATTATTAATGAATATGATAACTGTATTTACAAAACTCATACGTCACTAAATATAGAACATTGTTGTTAAATGAGGCCTTGAGACTTTAAAAATATTGAAAGTTTTTGTTTTCCTTTTATTCATTTTGAAATGTAAACATAGTGCATTTTCTTTGCTTTTCCAGTGTTCAGCTCTTGTAAATATTGGCCGGCTTTAGATTTAGTTATCTGTTTTATTCATATTTCATTAGTTAATTAGCTTAATTATTCATCATTTTACTTTTACACACATTGTTTTTGTAATAAGAGGTTCTTAGAATGAGCTTAACTACTTAATTTTTGATATATACATTTATTTATRGAGGAGGATGGTTCATAGAAATGAAATAGTTTGTGTGTCTGTTAAGTGTTTGGATATGAAATGATTTATATAAAAATATATAAAATTTTTATAACATCAAAAATCAAAACTGAGACCTTTGCTTATAAGGTCATGGATCAGATATATCTCATAAAGGTCACCCTTATTAGTATTCTTTACATAAAAATACTAATAAGGAGTGTTTTATCAGATGTAAAGGTCCATGCATCATTGGAACCACAGCATCTTCCTCCAAGATAATAGGCACAGTTCATACACCATTTTATAAAATTTTTGATATATAACGTGCGCTCTGATTGGCTGACGACCGTGTTTATATCAGAGGACAGAGACACGGCTTACTGGCAAAATTTTCTTTTCGCTCGAAAAATTTTATAAAAGAAATATAAAA